AGGAGGAACAAGAGTACTGTCTCCATGTTTGAACATATCTGGGGGTGGTTTGGTTTGTTCCAATGACCTGGGGGACACCATTACTGGTATTTAGTGGGCAGGAACACTCTGGAAGATTTTCCTGAAGAAGAATTATCCAGCCCTAAGCAGTGGTGTCTCCATTGATAAACAAATGCTAGAAAAAGAATAATACTAGTAGCAGTGATTTATTCTATACCATACTGTCTTAAGCACCTTACCTGCATTGCTTAATTTAAGCTCACCTTGACACTTTGAAGTAAATACTATCTCTACTTTCATGAATGGCTAAAAGGAGAAAGTCTTTCAAGGTTATTCTGCTAAGTAAATGGCAGGACCAGTTTTTAAACAGTGTACTAGATTAGAACCCAGAAGCTACAATTTTAATAACTGGACCACAGAGCTTCTTAAGCTGAAGATGAAACAGAACCTGGAGATCATGCTCAAGCAACAGAGAGGGCATCTATTATGATTTAGTCATCTGTCTTCCTTAAACCTAGTACAAGGATTGCCAAAATGCCTTTCCTTTATCTGTCATTTGATTTAGTTTAATCCTTCTCACTTGTATAGATAAAGAAAAGTGAAGTTCAGCAAGGTTAAGTCCTTCTAATGTGTGACAGAGCTGAGGTTAGAATCCAAGGAAAGTGGTCTAGCCATATGGAAACCAGCTATGATGACTGCTCAAGTGACCGATGAAAACTCCCGTGGGATCTGGCATCCCCACTTCTGGGAAGTAAGCCAAAGGAAATGGAATCATTTGGAAGAACTCTCTGTACTGCAGTGTTCAGTGCAGCATTATTTGAAACGGCCAAGAAATAGAAGAATCTGTGTCAACTGCAGATGAATAAAGATGGATAACAAAATGTGTGTATATATATATTCATGTGTGTTCTATACGTATATGTGTGGTGGCATAGTATTCAGCCATGACAAAGAAGGAAATCTGCCCATTTGTAACAACATGAATGAAGCTTGAGGGCATATGCTAAATGAGATAATTCAGATAGAGAAAGACAAGTATTATGCAATCTCACTTTTATGTGGAATCTGAAAGTGCCAAACTCTTGAAGGAATGTTTGTTGCTTGGGGTGGGGAGGGGACTGGGGAGGTATTGGTCAAAGGACATAAACATAAGATGACTAAGTTCTAGGGGCCTAATATATACCATGGTGACTATAATACCATATGGTATTGTAATGTATACTTGAGAGTTGTTAAAAGAGTAGATCTTAAATGTTTTGACCACATAAAGAAAGAAAAGGGTAATTATATGAGGTCGAAGATGTGTTAACTAACCTTATTATGGAAATTCTTTTATAGCATACTTTGTTGTTGTTATTTAGTTGCTCAGTCGTGTCTGACTCTTTTGAGACCCCCATGGACTATCTCGCCCATCAGGCTCCTCTGTCCATGGGATTTTCCAGGCAACTGGAGTGGGTTGCCATTTTCTTCTCCAGGGGATCTTACTGACCCATGATCCAACCCGTGTCTCCTGCATTGGCAGGCTGATTCTTTACCACTGAGTCATCTGGGAAGTTTCTAATATATACATGTATCAAATAATCACATTGTATGCCTTAAACTTACACAATATTATATATCAATTATATTTCAGTAGATCTGAAAAAAATACAGAGTGCATCCACCACTTTAAAAAAAAGAAAGCAAAGAAGGGATTTGACAATTTGGCAGGAGCGAGCTGCTCTACCTGCCTATCTCTCTTAGTTTACTCACTTTCCTAGTCCCTCATTCCCTGATATCTGTTTACATCAGGTGTTGGCAAACTTTTTTCCAACAAAGGCCAGGTAGTGAATATTTTAGGCTTTATAGGTTATATGGTTTCTGTCACAACTGCTCTCTGCAGTTTTAACAAGAAAGTAGCAAAAAAATTTTTTTAAATTAAAGAAAGATAGAAACTGTAGATAGTTTGTAAACAAATAAACATGGTTGTGTTCCGATAAAACTTTATATGTAAGAACAGTTGGTGAGTCAGATTTGACCCATGAATCATACTTGCTGTTCCTTGGTCTATTTCCAGTGTTAGATGTTGTGCTTTTTAGATCAATTTATACTTGAATCATCATTGATACCTTAGACTAAGACTGGCAAACATTTAGAACAGGATTCTTCAAACTGGTCGTTCACTGGAAGACTTGAGAATTGTGTTAAGAATGTAGATTCCTTAGTCCTGCTCCTAAAGATTCTAATACAGAATGTCTGGGAAAGAGCCTCAGCATCTGTACTTGTGGTCCCTGGCTCTATATTCATGCAAGAAGAGTTTGAAAACTATATGTTTATGGCTTCCATAGATAACTTTGCAAAGACATAATATGAAATAAATCTCTGTGTAATTTGTTTCACCCACAATCCTAGCTCCGTGCCAGAACCTCTGGTTTAATGAACAGACTATCCATCCATTCCATCTCCAAACCTCATGTCATTGCACCCTTTCCTGTTTTATTTAGAGGCAGACACGTTTAAGTGAAAATAATCACCATCAGAATACTAATGTGCTATAAGTTGATGTCAGGATATTTATTCAGCAGAATGCAATTACCAGTAAAATTTTATGTTCTAAATGGTGTGACTATAATCCAGTGTAGGCTTTTTAACCCCTGGTGATTTTTGTTTCATTTGATTTGTGATGAGTGGAAACCAGGCATGGTTGCTGGAGGCTGGCAAAGCAAGAATAAAGGGGAAATACCCCCATGGGCACTACAGGCAGTTTTCAACTACAATATGTCACTAAATCTCCATTACCACCGGGTGGCTCTACATGATTCTGTTATTAATTGAATTTTTCCCCAAGTAGAATGAGGGCTTATTTTGCATCAACACAATTCCATTGTCTGATGATTGTTGTTGGTAAAGTCAGCTAAATTTAAGATATTTCAGCATCCACATCCACAGGCATCGTTGCTGTGACTTTGGAGTGAGAGTGATCAAATGTACAGAAAGGACAGCATACGGAAGAGATGGTACTATGCTCACTACACGGGTGTGGACAAGATGGTTGGGAAGGTCTCTGCACTGGTACTATGCTCACTACACGGGTGTGGACGGGATGGTTGGGAAGGTCTCTGCACAGAAATGATAGTATCCCTTCCCAGTGCGTCAAATCCAAAGGTACATGAGGTTGTTGTTCAGTTGCTCAGTCGTGTCCAACTCCTTTGCAGCGCCATGGACTATAGCCTGCCAGGCTTCTCAGTCCATGGGATTTTCTAGGCAAGAACACTGGAGTATGTTGCCATTTCCTTCTCCAGGGGACCTTGAACCCAGGGATTGAACACTCAGACCCCCATCTCCTTCATTGTCAGGAGGATTCTTTATGGCTGAGCTACCAGGGAAGCGCCAAAAAGGCACACGAGGTTGCCACATTTTATTACTAGTGAGGTAGACTTTGATCATGTGTTTAAAGTGGTGTCTGTAAGGTTTCTCCAATGTAGATTTAAATTTTAACTTTGTAATTAGTAAGTGTCTTGTAGGGAGATACTCCCAATGCTTTGTAAATTAGTGAGCTGGTTTTCAGGAAATATCCAAAATGAACACATTTAACTCTGTGCATATGAATGATGTATATATTGATGGCTGAACGTGGTCATACTGTGAACGAATCTTAAAGTCTCTCATTTGAGAGAGAAGGGTTCACCTAAAAGCCAGCTGAGAATGTCATCTCAGATGTGGGATGACCAGCAGCCCAGCCCGTCTCCTCCCCTCAGATTGCTTTATTCCTTCCTGACCGCCGTTAGGATGTACCCTGTGTCCAGAGTGTGTGGTTCTCTGGTTACGTTTGTGTTAGAGTAGAGGAAGAATCCTTTCAAATCCTCCTCTTCTTCCTGCCCGTTTAAAATAGTTGTTGTTTGGTCTGTCAATGTCTCTCTTTCTCCCCCTCTGCAGTGAGAGATCTGTTTTCACTAACTTGGCCCATGGATTTTTTTTCTGATACAGAACTGAGACAGTAATGAAGAAATGAGAAGAAAGGGGAAGGATCCTTGTATCCTGGGCCAGTTCCTAGGCTCCCCTTTGCTAGTGAATCCAGGTGAAGAGAAGAAAAAAACAAGAATGTCAGTGACACTGTTGATACACAAGAGAAAGAGTTAAGAGCTGAGGAGAAAGCAGAAAGAGCCTGATGGACTTAGAACCTTCTAGACCATTTTGTGACTGCCCTGGGAGGCGGCTCGCGAGCGAGTGGCCAGAGTGCCCTGCATGTTGTGGTGAAGACATGTGCAGTCAGCAAGTGACATGCAAGCACACGAGAGCCAATGGAGCGGTGCGGCTGATGCCTCTGAGAGTGTGTGCCCACAGAGTGTGTGTCCCCAGAGACAGGCCTCTGGGAAGAAGACCCTGTTCCAGTCACCCATGTGTTCAGTGGCTCCTTGAACAGGGAACCAGGGAATGCTGACAAATCTAGTATTTCTGATAATCAGCCAGTTCCTGTAGTCAAACCCACACATCAAAAAAATTAAGATGAAAAAGGGACTTCCCTGCTGGTCTAGTAGTTAAGACTTCGCCTTCCAGTGCAGGGGGTTGCAGGTTCAATCCCTGGTTGCGGAGCAAAGATTCCACATGCTTCCAGGCCAAAAAACCAGAATATAAAACAGAAGCAATATTGTAACAAGTTCAATAGACTTTAAAAATGATCTACATCAAAAAATTTTTAGAAACCTGATGCATCAGGGCCCCTCCCCATGGGGGAAGGAGAGAACCCAACCCCTACAGGACATTCAAGAAACTCATCTGCATGGGGACCTGACCACACCACACACCGACTGGTTCAGAGGACTTATTAGCCTATCACAGATATCCTGGTTCTATTAACACTGGCTTCAGGGATCAAAGTTCCCTTTGACCCTTCTGAAAATATTAGGTAATGTCAGTGCAGGGGGATAATACACTCTTTCTGCATGTTTGCCCTGCAGTGCAGCAATTGTTGCCCTTGGGAATGATTGTACTAATTCTTAAGTCATTAACGCCAAATACTACATGACTACACACTACTCTAACCAGAGAGAATGCAAAACAGAGTGTGATACATCTTTCTGGAGCATAAAGTTTATTAAGACTATGAAGAAACAAGAAAGGAGTTGGCAAGAATTATCCCCTCCCCCAACCACATGAAAGACAGAAGTGTGGGGGATGGGGACATGCCCCAGGAGACAGTCTAGTCTCTGAAGTTTCACCCAGCAGGGGAGGAGGGGCAGCCAGGCCAGGGTGGTGCCTCTTCTGGTTGCCCAGGCCCCTCCAGAGCATTCTCTGTGCTGGCCAGGGTTTTGGACAGGAGGCTTCCTGAAGGGGTGGAGGTGCTGGGTTTGAGCCTCCTCATCCAGGTGGGAACATGCCCAGGTCCCAGGGGGCTTGGCAGGTCATCCACTGGGTGTTTCTGGGCTCACTTTATTTTTACCCCTCTTGCTGGGCAGCCCACAGCAAAGAAGTTTAAATATACATCTCCAGATTCTCCCAGACACCCTCTTCTTTTTCTGGGTGAGGCCAGGGGGAGTGACTGTGGACATATTCTCGGGCTGCCCAACAGGGGTGGAGCTTCTGGCATCAGGCACATCGGGGAGCAGTGGGTTCCTTCTGGGAGTTCACCGCTGATGTCATGGGTGCCATTGGTGTTGCACGTGTCACAGGTGATGTGGTTACCGTGCGTGCCGTGGGTTCTGTGAGTGTTGAGGGCGACATGGGTGCACGGGTGATGTGGTGCCATGGGCGCCCCAGCCCCTTGGGCCTCACAGGTGCCAGAGGTGCCATCTGTGCCTGGGTGCCCCTGGTGTCACTGCAGCCACTGGCACCACAGGTATCACGGTGCCACGGGCGTCTTCTGTGCTGCAGGCCCCAGTGCTGTCCTGGGTGCTTAGGGCGTCATGGCTGAGGCTGGTATCACAGGTGAAGCTGGTCTCACAGGTGCTGCAGGCGTCACAGGTGAAGCTGGCACCACTGGTATCGCAGCTGTCGCAGGCGCTGCTGGTGTCGCAGGCGTCTCTGGTGTCCTGCGTAATGCTGGTATCACGGGCATGGCTGCTGTCACGCCTGCCGCAGGTGTCACAGGTGAGCCTGGCCCCGCACGTGTCGTGGCGGTCACCGGCGTGATCGGTGGCTCGGGCGATGCTGTCATCATGGGTGTTTTGAGTGCAGGGGGCTGAGCTGGGGGTGACGGTCCTCGCTTCCAGGCAGGGTGGGGGAGTGGCAGGCTCTCTGATCTTCTCCTTGACTCCTGGTTCTCCTGCTGCTGAATGGTATCCCAAAGCCAGTCGGGAATAAGCATGGACACTTCAGGGCTGGCGGGAGGCGTATGTTCTTGGCTGCTGAGGTCGGAGGAAATGGCTGGCCTCACAATGATGGTGCGGGCCCCCACCTTGGGTTCGTCCGTGTCACTGCCACTGCTTGTAAGCCAGCCCTGGATCTGGTCCCTTCACCAGCCCAGTATCATCCCCACTGTCACCCCAGGGTGCTCTTCACAGACTGGCGGGAGTGGCTCCTCCTGGCCCGTGTTCACCCATGGGTGCTGCCAAACATCATCTAAAGTCCCTCTGTTGGTAGGGTTGAGCGTTAACATCCTCTGTATTAAATGTGTTACTTCATTTCATAGATATTTGGGCACATAGTATTGCCCTCTAGGGATGCACCGCAGCTCCCAGAAATCTTGTCCCCTGAAGGGGAGGGATCCAGTTACTATGGTGTACGCCGAGGTGTACTATGGACGACGCCGAGGCTCCACACATCCACCTCTGGGGCTGTGCAAGGCAGCCTCAGGAAGAGTTCTGGGGACGTGAACAGGGGGCTGCCGCAGAATGTGTCTAGCTTCTTTCTTGGGTGCCAGTGTTTGCTAAGGCTGAAGTCTGAAATCTTGATATTGTTGGCATCAAGGAGAAGGCTGCTCAGCTTCATGTCCCGGTGAACCACGCCCCGCTGGTGGCAGTGCTGGAGAGCCGAGACCAGCTGGCGGAACGCGCCTCGGGCCTCCCCCTCCGTCAGGCAGCCTTGGGCCTCCAAGTAGGTGAATATGTTTCCCCCACTGAGGTACTCCATTACTATAAACAGAGTGTCCTCTGTATTGATAACTTCCAGTAGTTTCACAATATACGGGTGTTTCAAGATTTTCATGCTGTTAACCTCTCAAAACAGTTCCTGGAGCCTGGAGAACCTCTGATTTGTCTTCTTTATTACCTAATAGCTAGCAGCTAGCACTCCCCTGGTGAGAACATGCTAGGCAAACTTCACTTTGCCGAAGTGGCCTTCGCCAATTGTGTAAAGGATCTCAATATTCTCGATATGAGCCATCTTTTTAGCAGAGATGACCATGAGGTCCCACATCCCTAACTCTCACTAAGAAAGAACCCTTCCAGCCCTCACTAAGAAAGAATGCTAACTGTACTAACAGTGATTACTATGCAAACACTATTATAGAACTGTCAGGTTGGTTTATTTCTTTTCCTCGGTTCTTGTCGCAACAAAAATTTGGAGTGGTGGACCAAAGTTGTGGAACAGCAGAAAAGTTACGGCTCAGTTCAACTCAAGCACCCCCAGAGGAGTCCTCCTCACTCTGTCCATCCCTCTTGGCTTCCCCTTTTTACGTTTCCTTTTGATTAAGCCCAGGTCAAATCGGGCTTGTACCCGCCACCCATCAATGCAAATGGGCATACGCTCAAGGCTGATTGACAATTATAAACTGTCTAACGGCTGGCTGTGTTGTTTATGTCTTCCCATAATTCTGTTAGATGTAGGGTATTCATGAGTCCTTAATGGTCTCCTAACTGCCTGAGGTTACTAGGAGAAGCCCCTGTGGTCCTTTTGTATCCTCGGTGTGCCTAGGGCCATGTGCAGGAGTTGAAAAGTCTCTGTGGCTATTTTGTAGTATATCTGTGAGCTCTTCTGGGTGTGTCTGGGATGGAGTTTAGAGATGAGTTTACATCCCTTTTCAGCCAGGCCTCCCTTCAAGTTGCTCATGTTTAACTTCCTACCTGACAGTCCCCCCTCAAGTTGTATGGACCCCAATTCGTTGGAGAAATGGGTGTCATTCATTCTGGCTACTTCCTGCTGAGTTGGGGCAGTGAGGTGCCTTGGGTGTCCAGCACTTGGTAGCTGTCAATGAGAGAGGCCAGTAAGGGCAGCTGCTGTCTGTCCAAGGGGGAGTGGCGTGAGGAAGTCATCAGAGGGGTCAGGGGTTGATATCTATGCTGTATCAGAAGCTGACCTGAGGAGTAAACTAAGTAGGTTGAGGAAAGAGGGAGCCAACAGAATTATAGGCCAGATGCACGGTAGGGCCGCATCCTTGACTGGCTGGAACCAGGTTGCTGTGGTGACCTTGTCCAGGATTTGATTAGTTTCGAATAAGTTTTTGGTGCTCAGTCCTGACCTATTGGTATCAGTCAGCTTTTTAAGAATTGGGTTAGGACATACCACAGCTAGCCTTATTGAGCGTGTTCATGATTTCTGTGGTGGCTGGACTTAACGAGTGTATATAAGAGTGACAGCACCAGAGATACATGAGCCAGATTGGGGTGTCCTGCGTATGGTCTTATGGGGGCCGATAACAGACATGAAAAGGATAGGATCTCCCTGACTAACACAAACCAAGAGAGAGGCAACGAGGTAGACCACACTGAATGCAAGCGCCATCCCAAGAAAGCTTATCCCCAGGAGCTTAACCTTTTGGATATTCATCAGAATGACCCTCACCTGTAGTCCTGAATAGGTATCGGTCTTCCAGAGGCTCTCAGGTACATCGGGAATCTTCTCCTGTTTTATTCCACGACTTTACTTGAGAGTGGTGAATCCAGGCGTCATGCCTTGGCAGCTTGGCTGCTGTGGAGGTCGAGAGTATTATGGGGTAAGGCCCTTCCGTGTGGGCTGGAGTTGAGCTTTTGGGGACGCATCTTTCTAAACCTTAATGAGTAGGTAGCAGTATATAGTGGAGGTCCCTCAGATTCTTTTGGGCCCTGGGTGAGACCCCACAGTCACATTTCTTATTGGAATTGCCCAGTGACCATAGTGTAATTTAGAAGGGTTTGAGTCTCTGGATCTAAAAAGAGGCCATCAACATAAACAAGTGGTCTCTGATATAACCTCTCATAAGTGCTAAAGCCAGCCTGTTCTTTTGGAGCAATGCGAGTATGAAAGGGGTATTGGTAACGCCTCCTTCCATAAAGGGGAGGTCTGAATTATCTGAGTGCCAACTTTAAGAATTGGTTGGCTACATCTTAGCTGTGCAGTTTCAAGAAATGTACTTGACCTCTCTGTATTTTTTTTTTCACTAGTAAAATAAAAATGCTGATTGTATTTACTTCACCAGCTTGTTGTGAGGATTAAAGTGTTTTGAACAGAAACTGGCTTCTAGAAATCAGTTACTAAGTTTTTGAAATAAATTCTGATGAGTCTGGGAATCACTGGGTCACTTGGATAAGGTCCTAGCTTATCTGAGTCATGGGCATAGTTTTGCCAAGCACTGTGTTTAGTGGACCAGGTTATGCTCTTTTCAGGTCCTCCACACATTTCTCACAGAATCTCAGTCCTAGAACTAGCTTGTGTTATCTATAAAATGGGGGAAATGAAGCGTTATCCAAAGTCAAGCATTTGAATGGGAAGGTTTCTGGAAGATCCATCCCATCTCCAAAACCTCTGATATTTTGAATCATTCTGGATTCTTACAAACTCATTGTAGCTTCTTTGGCTCTATAAAATATGAAAAATTGATTTCATCCGCATTGTATTACTCAAATATTAGGTGAGGATTTAAGAAAGATGCTTCATCTTTGAAGAAGGAGTACTTTGTAAGTCAGGATGAAAATATACCTTGATTGATTGGTTAAACACTGGTGGACTCACTTTTCTTTCTCCCTTAAGATTTTTCTCTCCTTTTACCTGTTCTCCTGTATGTCCCTTCCTCCGCTATTTTCTCAAGTCCCAGTCAATATCCTTCAGAATACAGGCTTCTGATAATTCTTCTCTGTCAGAAGCAGGGCATTTAATCTCAGTGCATACTTGCCTGCAGTGTCTAGGGTGGTAGTTATCAGCGAAGCAGAATGGGGGTCTTGTAGAGCTGTCCATCACGCTTCTCCTCAACTAGTATAGACAGCCTGTGTCTGTTGACTGTTGACTTGAGACTTAAACATGGCAGGATATCTGCAACTTCCTGAGTTTCCTTGTGCATCTTATGGTTACTTAATCCTCTTTGAACCCAGGTGAAGGAACTCAGAATTCCCATGGTGGGTGTGAGCAATCTATTCACAAACTGATTCTGAAAGAGAAATTTCTTAGGGGGCAGGAAACTAGCATCCTGTGCAACCATAATTCCCATTCTCCTGTATTAATGAGTGAGACTTCCCTGAGCACTGTGTGCCAGGCTCCGTGCCAGGTGCTAGGGATGCGAGTGAGCAAAACAAGTCCAAGTCTCTGTGATCACAACGCTAGTTTTCTGGAGGAGACTTATTGGGTAAGAAATTACACAGTTCAGTTCAGTTCAGTCGCTCGATCATGTCCGACTCTTTGTGACCCTTGGACTGCAGCATGCCAGGCCACACAAAGTATTTATCAAATTACAGTGGTGTTAGGTGCTATCAGAGAAAAGTTGCACAAATTATTATTTGCTCCTATTGATGTGGAGTGCTAAAGAAGATTACAGGGTGATGATTGGTTCATCCTGTAGTTGTACTTACCCCAAGTCCTTACACACATCCAGGTGACAAAGTTTCAATGTTGCTTCTTGGTTCGGGAATTTTTGCAAAGAAGAAGCTTCAGATCATGGGTCTAGATGAAATGGGGTTTGAGGTTTCAATAAGGAAAGAACCTGGGAACAAGGGGTAGAATCTTCTACCATGAGCTGATGCCTCTAGGTGATTGGCTTAGCTCTGGGGACTGGAGAAACACAGAGCTTGGATGGTGACTGACATCTGGACACATCAGATTCACACAAGGACCATGAGAAAACCTTTGAAGTTTGTGCAGGGGAATCCCAGTAAAAAGTATCCTCTTGACTGAGAAGCGGACATATAGCTAGGATGGGTATTCTCTCATACCTGGCTTGCAGCTTTCAGATGGACATTTAAGGAGTTGGGGGGTTGGGGTGTGGCTTATCAGGTGTATCTTTCCAGGGAGCCACACAAGGCATCTCAAGATCTGTAGGCTGACCGATGTTGCATCCTTCTCACCTGGCTGACTCACTGACTATCAGGAACAGAAACGTGTTTGGGGTGATTCAAGTGAGTGGTTCTCATTCCTGGAACTGGAATCACCCTGAACTTATAAAAACAGAGAAACCCAGGGCATAGACTTACTGGGACAGATTTAGGATGATCTCTGAATATCCTGCAGGAGCTGGGCGCGCTCCTTCCCCTATGGGGAGGCACCCTGAGGTGTGGCGTTTTTTTAATTTTTTTGATGTGAATTATTTTTAAAGTCTATTGAACTAAATAAAATGACAGGTGCTGCTGCTGCTGCTAAGTCACTTCAGTCGTGTCTGACTCTGTGCGACCCCGTAGACAGCAGCCCACCAGGCTCCCCCACCCCTGGGATTCTCCAGGCAAAAATGACAGGTTAGAGGAGAGGAATTTTGGCAGTCCTTGCACTAGGTGTAAGGAAGAGAGATGAATGAATCATAGTCTGTGCCCTCTGGGTTTGCTCATGCATGTTCTGCATGCTCATGCATGCAGATCTCCATGTTCTGTTTTACCTTTACCTTAAGAAGCTCTATGTGCCAGTTATTAAAATTGTTATTAAATTATTATTAAAATAATAGTTTTATAATTATGAATATACTATAATAAAAAGTTACTTAATTGTCATTAAAATTATAGGTCCTGGGGTCTAATCTAGAACACTGTTTAAAATCTGGTTCTGCCATCTACTTGGCAGCATAACCATGAAAGACTTGTTTATCCAGTCAGCTATTCAAAAAAGTGTAGTATTGACTCCAAAATGTCAAGTGAAAGTGAGAACGTGAAAGTCGCTCAGTCGAGTCCGACTCTGTGTGACCCCATGGGCTATACAGTCCATGGAACTCTCTAGGCCAGAGTACTGGAGTGGGTAGCTGTTCCCTTCTTCAGAGGATTTTCCCAAACCAGGGACTGAACCCAGGTCTCCCGCATTGCGGGCGGATTCTTTCCCAGCTGAGCCACCAGGGAAGTCCAGCGTGTCAAGGTGAAGTTCAGCAATGCAGGTGAGGTGCTTAAGACAGTATGGTATAGAATAAAGCACTGCTACTAGTATTCTTTTTCTAGCGTTTGTTTATCAATGGAGACACCACTGTTTAGGGCCGGATAATTCTTCTTTATGCAAATCTTTCCAGAGTGTTTCTGCCCACTAAATACCAGTAATGTCCCCCAAGTCATTGGAACAAACCAAACTGCCCCCAGATATGTTCAAACATGGGGAGAGTACTATTATGCCTCCTGGTTGAGAACTTAGATAGCAACCTTCTTAAGGACTGATTTATTTTTGTGTTCTCAGTCTAATACTGTGAGCACAAAACTCAATAAACACCCTTAGTAGAAATGAGTAGAGAATGAATAAAACAATGACTTTATACATGTGCTTGAAACGCCTCCATATATATTTATAACTTTTGTATATGGTTCTACTAAATATCTAGAATCCCTCATTAAATTGCAGGTAGTTCCAAAGGGAAATACTCTCAGCTGTTAACTAACTAACGTCAAGGTGGGTGGATGCCAGCTGTGACAAAAGCCCTGCAGGAGTAGTTCACGGGCCAGGAAACATGGAGATGCAATAGTGTTCAACATAAATTCAAAAATGAGAAGCTTTGTATGGTCTCTAATTGCATCTCTGCAAAAAATTTGTGCATAAAAATAAGAACATGAAAGAAAAAAAAAACAACATGTGTGACAATGGGAGCTCAATGGGAGACACATATCTTACCTCCATTTTATTCTAAAAGAAATTGAAACCCAAGGTTCTTTTCCATCTGTCATCCATTTTTCCTCTTTCTTTCTTACAGAATGATACCACATCCCACATTTCTCTTTCCTCGGTAATCATTCTTCCTGAGAAACTAATCTGAAATTCTTTGTTTAATACCAGTTTTTATTTAATTAGTCAAATTCTTGTCATAATTCCTTAAGAACTCATTCCCCAGGAAGGAATGCTCAATGTTTTTGCCCTCAACTCTCTAAAAGTCAGTGGACTCGTGAGCACTTTTGTTTTCTTTCCAGCTCTCTCAAAGCACTTTATTCTCAGGAATATATCCATTCTGATAGCCTCAACAATGACAACTTATCCTTATTTGAGTACTTACCATCAGAAACCCCAAACTCACAAAGTTTAATTATGTAAAAAATATTCACTACACAAGTGACAATTTATAACAATTAGTCTACATTTAAAATCCCTCCCTACTTAACAAAAGATCTGCTAATGTATTGAGACAACTGAGGCAGAACACACTGGTTAGCACAGGTATACATCTATTAGCACCACAAAATATAAGAGCAAATCTATTTCAAAAAAGAATTTTACATCTTGTAAAAGATGCAGGATTTCATGATATCAAAGCACAGTTCAGACACTTAGAAAGACACTCATATGGAAGAGCTACTCCAGTGAACAGATGAAGACAAATTTACAGGGATGATGACACGACAGATACTTCACAGACTTCACACTGATTTGAGTATCAAAAAATTAAGAAAGATTCTTAGAAAAAACTGATGAACCCGCACAAGTGTTTTACAAATTTTGTCCTCTTTGTAACTGTGTCATAACTGTAAGCCTGGAGAGCTTGAATAGCCAAACAATTCTGAAAAAGAAGGACAAGGTTAAAGGTATCACACTTGCTGATTTCAAGCTTCTGGCAAAGCTTCCATGGTGATTCAGACAGTAAAGAATGTGCCTGCGACGCAGGAGACCATGGCTCAATCCCTGGGTCGGGAAGATCCCCTAGAGAATGGAATGGCTACCCACTCCAGTACTCTTGCCTGGGAAACCCCATGAAGAGAGGAGCCTGGACGGCTACAGTCTATGGGGAGCAAAGAGTCAGACAACAGAGTGACTATCATGCTTTCACACTGTAATCAAAAGTGTGGTATTGTCATGAATGCAGACGGAACAATGGAAGAGAATAGAGAGCCCGGAAATAAACTCAAAAAAAGACATTTTCAACAAATGCTTGTGGGAAAACTAGATATCTACATGCAAAAGAATAAACTGTACCCTTACCTTTCACCATATACAAAAATTAACTGAAGATGGATCAAAGACCTCAATGCAAGACCTAAATCTATGAGTCTTAAAAGAAAAGACCAAAGAAAAGCTTCAGGACATATTTCATTGTAATTTCTTAGAAATTTAGGGGATTTTTTTTTTTTCTTTTTACTCCACCTTCTTGGGATCCCTGGCTGGCTTTGAAAATTCAATTGACCAAGATAGAGTAGTAGGAGAAAACATGTAAATTTACTTAAAGTAAGTCTTAAGAAACATTAGTCTTCATAAAAAAATCAACATCTGAAGAAACAGTGAAACCTGAGTAATTTTCACACTAGATTTGATGAAGAGTGGATACTCATGGAGAAATATAACAGGCCAAGGAGCATGAGCTGAGTGTAGTATGCTGGGGGAAACTTAGCAAGGCCTATTTGGAGTCTTTCTGGCATCATTTTGTCTTTGGAGGTGAGGATGCACTTTTGTTTCTATAGGGAAAGCACTTCTCACTTAAGAGTACTATGACCTACTTCGGGGTGAAAGGTGAGCAGAGGGTCTAAATAAGCTTCTGCTATTTTCTCAAATTCTTTCAACTTCAGTTCAGTTCATTCACTCAGTTGTGTCCAACTCTTTGCGACCCCATGACTCACAGCACGCCAGGCCTCCCTGTCCATCACCAACTCCCAGAGTCTACCCAGACCCATGTCCATCGAGTCGGTGATGCCATCCAGCCATCTCATCCTCTGTCATCCCCTTCTTTTCCAATGAGTCAACTCTTCTCATGAGGTGGCCAAAGGATTGGAGTTTCAGCTTCAACATCAGTCCTTCCAATGAACANTCCCATCTCTTTCAGAATTTTCCACAGTTTATTGTGATCCACACAGTCAAAGGCTTTGGCATAGTCAATAAAGCAGAAATAGATGTCTTTCTGGAACTCTCTTGCTTTTTCAATGATCCAGCGGATGTTGGCAATTTGATCTCTGGTTCCTCTGACTTTTCTAAATCCAGCTTGAACATCTCAAAGTTCACAGTTCACGTACTGCTGAAGCCTGGCTTGGAGAATTTTGAGCATTACTTTACTAGCATGTGAGATGAGTGCAATTGTGCGGTAGTTCGAGCATTCTTTGGCATTGCCTTTCTCTGGGATTGGAATGAAAACGGACCTTTTCCAGTCCTGTGGCCACTGCTGAGTTTTCCAAATTTGCTGGCATATTGAGTATAAAATATGCCAAGGTAACATATTTTAGTGTAGCATGGACACCAAAAGCATAGACAAACAAAGTTAAAAGAGGTAAATTGGATTACACCAATGTAAAACTTTTGTCCATCAATGACATAATCAACAGAGTAAAAAGACAACCCACGGAATGGAAGGAAATATTTGCAAACCATATATCTGACAATGAGTTAAAATTCAGAATATACAGAAAACTTCTAGGTTTCAACAACAACAGAAACATAAACAATCTGATTCAAAAATGAGTAAAGAATTTGAATAAACATTTCTCCAAATAAGATATATGAATGGCCAATAAGCACATGAAAAGATGTATATCTCTAGTCATTAGGGAAATGCAAATCAAAAACACAGTAGC